AGACAGACACCGAGGTGCCCGAGACAGAGGCGTCCACAGTGGTGGATGACAGGAGGCCGTTAGGAGCTGGAAGAGAGGAGAAAGGATCCCTCCTGGAGCCTGCAGCGAGCACAGGCCCCCGACATACTGAGTTTTGACATCTGGCCTCCAGAACGGGGAGGGGCTACATTTCTGTCTTTTTAAGCCACCAAGATCACGACAGTCATTACAGCACCCACAGCAAACAATAGTCTTCCTGTTTAGTGAACTTGGCCTGAATGACTGAAGTTGCCTTAGAGATATTGTCCGGGTTCGGAGTGATGCTGGTCTCATGGAACGGGGCCACCTGTCCTGAATGGCAGCGGGGAGATGGCACCTGGATCCACCGGGTCCTGAGGACAAGCAAAGCCGGTTGGAGGAGCAGGAGGCCCTCTGTCTCCAGGGTGCCCCCACTCTGTTCGGGGTCCCCGTGGAGAACCTGGGTTGTTTAAGAAGGCCCTATCTTTTTGGAGGGTCTAAACCCCAGTGTTGGTCTCAGTAGCACCATGGACCCACTGGAAACCCTGCTTTGCCGCTTTACTACTTTTTGTTTGCTTTTTGCTCTCACGGTGCATTGTGGTGAAAGTCAGTGTCGCGCCCTGGGCTCACATCCGTGGGCCTCGCCCTCTTCCTGCATCCTGGCCTTTCACGTCCTGCACGCGTCCTCTGACTCAGGCTCCAATTTCTCTCTCCCCAGCCCTGTGACACTGCTAGAAAGCTCCACTGTTCTCTCAGCTTCTTAGAGCGGGTCTCTGCCTTCCTAGCTTTCAGCCAGCCAGGAGTTGGAAAATGTCCAAAGGTCAAGAACAGAGTGCGGGAAGACACAGTTCTCTCTAGGGGCCTTAGCATCTCTCGTCCTGGCTGATCGATCGATTGACCCACCTTATCTATCTTCTGTCTATCTATCATCTATCAGCTATCTGATCTCTCATACATCTATTTTTTCTTTCTCTCTCATCTCTTTCCTTATTTATATTAAAAATTTTTTTAAATGTTTACTTTTGAGAAAGAGAGAGAGAGAGGCGGGCAGAGAGAATGGGAGAGAGAGAATCCCAAGCAGGCTCTGAGCTGTCGGCACAGAGCCTGATGTGGGGCTTGAATTCATGAACTGTGAGATTGTGACCTGAGCAGAAGCTGGACGCTTACCCAATTGAGCCACCCAGGCTCCCCTCGTTATTTGTATTGAAGCTGAATTTGTAGTTGTTCTGAGTAAGAGTCTTGTCCCGACAGGAGCAGTTGTGTTACGGATAGAGGGGTAAGAGACGTACTTGTATGTACAGAAGTGTGGTCTACTTCACGTCTGGAGGAGGGGAGAACTAGTAATTCGCCTTCGCGGGGAGATCACCCGACACCCAGACGCCCAGGGAAGCGATGTGGAAACCTCTCCACCAGGTGTTCCAAGCTGGCTGTCCCTGTTGGGGCGATGAGAACAAACTGTCAGAAATGATCACAGCGGAAACAATACAAAGACACCCACCAGGAGTGCGCGTGGTCTCAAACTCCTCCGCATCCTCGCCGACGACTGTTGTTTTCTGGGTTTTTGTGGTTGTTGTCTGATGCTAGCTGTTCTGACAGACGTGAGGTGGTATCTTGTTTGGATTTGCACGTCCCTGATGAGGAGGGATGTTGAGTATCTTTTCATGTGTCTGTTGGCCATCTGTGCATTGTCTTTGGAGAAATGTCTATTCAAGTCCTTTGCCTGTTTTTTTTAATGTTTACTTTTGAGAGAGAGAGAGACAGAGAGAGACAGAGAGAGAGAGAACAGTGGGGGAGGGGCAGAGAGAGGGAGACCAGAGAATCCAAAGCAGGCTCTGAGCTGTCAGCACAGAGCCCAAGGTGGGGCCTGAACTCACGAACCATGAGATCCAAAGCTGGACGCTCCACCGACTGAGCCCCCCCATTTTAAGAATCAGATTTTGCCCAGTTTAAGAATCAGATTGTTATTTAAGAGATTTCACGCAGAAGTTTCGTATTTTAAGCAGATTAAAATGGGATCGAGGCAGAGACGGCTGTGTGGCACTTGAAAGCGTGTCTGTTAGAGTTTCACTAGCTCAGATCTGAAGTGAAGCCAGCCGTCGTGGGCAGCCCCGAGCTCCGCACGCTCACGGGCCAGGAGGCGAACGTACCGGGACCCTCGTGGACGTGGCGAGGGGGGCACGGCCCTCTGAGGCCTGTGTAGGTGGCAGCTGCTGGGAAGAGAGCTGAACGGAGCCAGTAAGCTGAGCTGGGGCAGGACACCCGTTTCGGCCGAAGCCTAGGGCCGGGCGGGCCGGGCGGGCCGGGGGCAGCTCCTTCCTACTGCAGCCAGACCACCGGGATCAAGTTCTTTGGGATGAAATGAACACCCCCTGTGCCAGAGAGATGACCAGTCGAGGGGGAGTCAGGGAAGCCTGGGGCTGGGGGTCCGGCACCCCAGCCCGTCACCGCAGCTGCTGTCCGTTAGGGCCTTGACGCGTATCGGACACATGCTGTCTCTGGGCAGCACTGGGGGACCCACTTCAGAGACGAGGAAATCCAAGCTAAGGAGCGTCCCACGGGCCGCGTGGCTCACAGGTGGCCAAGCCGGGCGCAAGTCTTGGCGTGCCAGGGCCCGTGTTTCTGCCACCCCCCACGTCGCGGCCCCCTGGATGCTCCTTTTCTGTGTGGCCTCATCCTTTGTAATGTAGAACAGTTACGAATATCCGGCCTGTCGGATAGACATTTTCTAAAATACATCAGGCCATTTTTTTGGTTGTTGCTTCCTAAGAGTATATGGAAGTTAGCAAAATACCTTAAGAACAATTTTGCTCTTTTTTTCAAATACTCAAATAGATTTTGTGACCTGAATATCAGTTTTGGGCCCTGCACTAGAATTTAATGAAATCCTGAGGACTTGACTTTGCCCCGTGAACCACGCACCGTACCCGGTTCCTCTGATGGAAAATATCGGATGCCACTTATTAGCGTCCCGTGTCCTTTTTTACATCATCTGAGACTTCTCACTGATGCCGATTTTGCTTATCGTTTGCATGGCGCAAACTCCAGCTGTGGGTTTGGAAATAAAATCGCTGATCGTTTTTCCTATGTGTCTGTCAGGATTCTTTGGGTCGCGCAAGATACGAGCCCGCGTCCAGGGAGCTTCAGCAGAGACTTTGGTGGTCCTGTAGAAGGGGATGTCTAGCGGCCACTGCCGTATGGCGTGTCTGAGCACACGGGCAGGGTCCCAGCCTGCCCGCAAGTGCCCCTCACAGTGCCCGTCATCTTCTAGGACAGCGATGGCTGCACCGAGACAGATGGGTCTCACCCCTCAGTGAGGGGGACTCTCTTCCCGTCAGGGGCCTGCTCTGTCCAGATGAGTGTTTGGCTTCCCTACGTAGTGTGGCTGAGACGGTGCGCCTTTCCTAGGGCAGCATTACTAGGAGGTGAGCTCCTACCTTATAGGAGGGGCCAGGGCAATTCTGAAATGGACAGTGAGGAGCATGAGAAGCTGGTCCGCCTCTGGTCCCGTCAGGAGACGGTCTCTCCCTGGAATGAGATTGTTTTCTCAGA